GAAAATTGCTTAACAAAGCCTTTCTCAGAACATATCCCCATCCCCAAGTGATGCATGACTATATAATGTAGGTGTGCATTAAAAAGTTGTGTAGCAAACATGAAATACAGAATTTTTAAACTTCTAAACAATAGAGAATTATTAATTTATGTAGTCTGAAACCTCTAATTCGACATTTTTCATGTGATAGCACGCATTTTGTGGCGGCACCTACTGGCAAAGTGTAGAAATGCAGCCAACTATACTTAAGATGGCCTCATGAAAAGCTGGCACGAGAATCAATTCTTTTGGTTTTATTTCTTCCCAGTCTGTCTATTCCCCTTCGTTCCTTGTACTCAAAGATTATTGTAATTCTCCTATTATAATATAAGTAGTACAAAATTATCCTTAGATACAAGAGTTAAATTCATTTTTATCTCTATATTTTAAGGTTGAGAGATAAAGAGGCCAGAGTGAGAGACAGGCAAGAGTTAGACTGCATACAATTTTGTACAACATACTAAGGTTTCTGGAGTTTTATCCTGTACCTAATATGGAATCACTGAAGGGTTTTAATCATGACAGTAACATTTGCTATTTCAAAAAGATCACCCTGGCAGCAATGAGGACAACAGGATGAGGCAACTCAAAATTAGAGGCAGAATAGGCAACTATGTAAGTCTAGGCAAGAAAGAATGAAAGTCTGAAAACAGACAGTATAAACACTGGAAATAAGATAGTATTAATAGTTATAGGAATAAAGATGAGGAGAAAGAACATAAAAAATGTTAAGTAAGAAGAATTAACAGATCTTAGTGAGTGTAAGGATAGAGAAAGGAGTTATGTCCCAGATTCCTGCTGGGCAGCTGGAAGGAGAAAGGCTTCATCACTTCTGAAGGAGAAGCAGTTTTACAGGGAAAAATGAAGATTTAGTTTGGAAGATTTGTTAAGTTGAATTGCCTTTAAGATACTACCCTAAAGATATATTTCTGAAACTCAGGAAAAGAGTTTGAATTTCACTAAAATATAGATTTAGAAGATTTGCACATATGTAGTCAGAGAGGTAGGTGGAAAATAATAGAATGATATCTCAGAAATTATGGGAAAAAACAGGAAATCACTACCAATAGGAAGTGATGAAATTTGAGGACTCCAAAGAGACCAGAGACCAGAGACCATGATATTTGGAAGATCACAAGTAGTCATTGGCAGAATACCTTTAGTGGAGGGGAAAAGTGAATGAGTATGATAAGTCAGTCAAATATAGAAAAGTAAATAAATACTGTCTACTCTGTCAGAAATGTTAGGGCTAGGGAATATCAGTCAAGAAAATGACTCCATAAATGATTCTAAAATGACTTATGAATCGTTATAGAGTTTACTGTCTTTTAAGAAATACACATTAAATAATTAGAAATAGGAAAGTATAACAAAGGACAGTATTTTTTCAAGAATTTGAGCTGTAAAAGGAAGGAGAAGGAACTGGAAGAAACAGAGAAGATGACTTGTTTTTTTCTCACAATCTTATAGACTATGGCTAAAGTACTAATAAAGAGAAAGGCTGAAATTATAAAATAAAATGAATAACCAATACAGCAATGTTCCTATAGGTTATTCATACTCCTCTCCCATGTGTGGCTAACTCCTTTAAGTTCATCCTTTAAGAATAAGCTCAACCGTAACATCCACCCAGATAAGCATTTCTGACACTCTTATTCCTGGCTCCCACAAACTAGGTCAATTGTCCTTTCCTCATATACCTTTCTATCTATTAACATATGAATAGGGTATGTTTTTAGTTTTTAATAATTTTATTTTAAATTTATAAAACAAATACATACTTAATACGAAAAGATTTTTTTAAAAAACCTAAATCAACACAGAGAAGAAAATGAAGATTGTTCCAGTGAACTATTTAGACGCTTACTTGAAGACACTTACTATTTAGATACCCACTTCTTCAGGGCCTTCCCTAGAAGACAGAATTACTCATTATGACCTGAGAGGATATCCAAATGGCTGCTAAGTTGAAGTCTATTCCCTTTCCCTACATGCCTCTAAAACAAATGTATTATACTTCTACCCTGCTGATCACTTACCCCAACCAGAAATTCCTCCAAAAAGAATATAATTATAACAAATTACATCGGATTGAACATATGCATTTATCTCTGCTTCCTCCAAACCTCACTAAAATGTCGAAAAAAAAAAAGTTTTATATCTATAAAGAAAAAGAGAATGGGAGAGAAGACAATAGCTAGTGATGGCAGAGATATTTCCTGAAAGTATGGAAAAATGAAAAGCAGATGGTCAAGTCACAACTAACTACCCAGAACATAGAAAGATAAAGCCTAAGTAACTGCTAAGAGACACATCAGTAAGAAGCAGCAAACTCAAAAATTCTCCAAAAGTGAAGGTAATATTGAAGGCTATAATAAAGATAGGGTTAAAAACAGGCAAGCTAGTTGACAGTCATTACGTAGGGAACACTTATACCCCATTCTTCTAGTCTGAGTAGTGAGACTAGTGTGCCTCTCTCACCTCAGCATGGGAAGCAGAATTACTATGCAGAAACTAAGTCAGAGAGACCTGGGGGCAACAGGGACTAAAAACAAAGGGATTGAGTTCTAAATACTAAACTGTGAGACTCAGCATCAACCTGGACCTACCTCAAATCCTGGAATATTGCTAGCCAGATTTAGAGTTTTCAGAGATTAAAAGATGCTTCTGTAGAAACTTTTGGGAAAGTCCCAAAGGAAAAAACCTATTGTTACTGACATTTGGAGAGTGAGTCCACAACAAAAGAGCCAACTGGCCACCTTGCTATAATTAAGCTAACTATACAGAGCTGCTAACCAGCTTCATAGGGCCTCACTCTTAAATATGAAAGGATAGTTCAGAATCAACATACACTATAAGAATACCTCTAACATGAAAGAGGGCAAAACAAAGAAGTTAACAAAAGAAAAACAATCTAGATAAAACAAAGACCATCCTGGAAACAGATAAAAACATTTTTATAATTAAATACAATAAATAACCTTAATGAAATATGTCATAACATCATATACAATCAAATGGGAGACCAGAATGAAGACATTTGCCTACATTTATTTTTCCTGAGAAAGCTCTTTGAACAAAATAAGGGTTTTGCAAATTAAAAATAAAGTCATAAGATCCAGGAAACAAGGCAGAAAAAGAGGAAATTCACAAAGTGATAATAAAGCTTCATGGTTGCCACTCAGACACAGGCCTAGCAAGCAAAAGTAATGACTGAATAAGGAAGACAGAGGACTCTCCAGGAGGAATGTCTTCAAGGGCAAAAAAATAGAACTGATAGAATACCCAATATTAAGAAGACATTTTATAACTTCATTGTCAAGATTAATAAAGAACTGATAAGTAAATAGGAAGCAAAGCAAAATAAAAAAGTAGATAATTACTAACTCTAGAAAGAAAATCATACAAGAAAGGAAGAATAATCATGGTATATCACAGAGCTTAGCTACAGACAATATTACAGTCATAAATGCAAATTCTAAAATATGATATAACCAAAATTGTGGTATAACTACATTAGAAAGATGAAAGAAGAGAAGTGGAGGCTTAGGGGAAAGGATTGTTTGGAGGTTGGTGAGTGGGTTGCAAATCCTCACTTTCCATGATAGGAACTTAATGGATTATGTCCAAAATTGAAAATTCAAAAATAGCCACAAAAATTTTCATTCAAAGGGAGATAAATACAAAAACAAACACAAAAAGCATTTAAAGGCAATTCCTCTGAGATCTTTTTTATTGTAAGTCTATAGTACCACTATATATATATATATAGTTTTATATATATATATAATTTTATATATATATGGGGGAGAGAGAGAGAGCGCACGAGCGTTTTTCAAAAAGTAAACTATTTTTAAAAATTAATTATCTGCTATCGCAGAAAAAATGGCCAGCCAATATATTATCTGGAAGTTAAAAGATGACACTGATATTGTCTACAAGTCATTTTCAAAACCCTCTTCCCAAATTTACTTCTTTTTGAATATCCATATGAAAAGATAGGATGCAATTCAGAATAAAATCCTGAAAAAAAATTCTTAGAATCTTAGAATAGAAAAAGTTTCATAGAATAATATACAGTGATTTTAAGAAAATAGGTGCCAAGGTCAGAACTGAGTTCAGATCCCAGTTCTGTTACTTAACAATGTAACCTAGGGTAAGTTACTTGGTCCCAGTGCTTCAGTTTCTTCATGTCTATACTGGGGATAGTAATAATACCTGTCATATAAGGTTGTTGTAATGATCAAACGATAATCCAAGTAAAGAGTTCAGCACAATGTCTAACTCATAATAAGAGTTCAATAAGTATCAGCTGTTTTTATTGGTACAATGCTATAGCACACTAACCAAATTGATAGTGAGCTATCATAATTGCTAGCACACACAATCCACTTCTGCCACCCAAAATTACTCTAAAACTTACTCACCATTCAACATGCCTATATTATAAATAGGAGTGTATCAGATATTTAAAAAAACCTCTTACCTCCAGTATTATACACAAACAAATCCCAGATGAACTAAAGATTTACACATAAGAAAATTAAAAATAACTAGCAGAAAATAGAATAGAGAATTTATATCTTTGTCAATTTTCTTACTCGTTCTGGCTTCAGTTTCTTTTATTGCTAAACAAAAAGTTTAAAGAGATTATCTATCTAGTCATTTCTAGTCCAGAAAAATCTATTTCTTCCAGATGAATGATAACCCTCTTCTCTAATCACATTTGGTTTCAACATACCTTTTGACTTTACGAAAAACTCAGAATCACAGATAGGCAGAAATTTATGAGGTAAGGTCATGTAATTATAATTTATTCATCTAGATATTTTGTTTCTTCTCCCTACTGTTTGGTCTGATGCCTGGTCATTTCAGTATCTCTTTTATTCCTACCTCTGATTCTGTGAAGTTTTAAAGATTAGATTAATAAGATACATTTGTGATTTATGAAAAGTCATTACCCTGGATTTGATATTTCTCCAAGAATCTCATCTAATTTGTCGATGAAATTAATAAAATTGGACAATCCCTTTACATGTATCCTTAAAGGATCAGATGGTGATGGTGCATATCCTTTCCCTCCAAGCTCTATTGTTCTAATAAATGATGTAGCCACCTATGAATTAAAACAAATGATTTAGTTATATGTAATGATTTAGAAGTTAAAACTATAATTTATAAAGCTAGGTACATTTCTATAATCCTGGTTATAGCATTAGAGTGAAGCACATTTTATGGCTCATGCCACATTTTTATTCAGAAGCAAATGACCAAAGAAACAAGTGTTACGTAGAATTCATGTTAGCAAGGGTGGTAGCAATGACATCCAAGTATAGGTAGAGGCTGAAAAGCTAAGTTAGAGGAAAAATTAAGGGCTAAAGAATATATTCATGATAATATATCATTGGTTATACAGAATTCATTTATGAATATATTGATTATAAAGATTGACTACTGGCTATGGAAATTGCTCTATGAAATAAAGAAATTTCAGTGTCAACTGATTTGTTGTGTTAAACAGGTTAGGCAATTCAATACTTCCAAATCTCAGCTTCTTTATTTGTAAATAAAGATTTACAGTAGGTAATCACTAAATTCCATCTAGCTTTCATATCCTAGGATTATTTGATCATGTATAGTTCAAAAATCATTGCCTTTATAATGATAAAAATACATGTGTAAAGGCTATATACATAAAAGTATCTCCATCAAAGATGAAATGTTAGAAAGCAGTACTTTCCAAAGTGTACCCCACAAAAGACAAATTTTATGAAATGTCAATAATTTTGGGGAAGTTCCATGGTCAAATAATTTAAGAAACAGATTAAATAAAGTTAATTTGTTATACGCTTTAAGCAAATTTCTTTTTTGCAAGACTTCTCAAAGCTCTTGATAAACAAACATGCATTATGTATAACCAATAGGGGAACAAACTATTTCTAAACTTTTTGCCTTTGGAAACATTTATTCAAGGAGCATTTAACAGGGAATTTTTACCTTTGGAAATATTAATTTAGAGAAAATTTATCAAGGTTAGCACTCTACAGAACATACGTAGAGAAACACTGCTTTAAAAAAATTCTTCCTTGCCAAACTTGATAGATATGGTAAAAAATAAAAATCCCATGGATTTTCCAATATAGAGGTAGAACATAAATTAACCACTAAAAGTTGTTTCATCATAGTTACAAGAACTTCTACATTAAGGTACATGGATCCACTGTTCAAGAAGCCTTAAACAATCTTGAAAATGTAACGCATTCATACCAGAAAGATAGACATTTGTTTCTCTCGAGCAGCATGTTTCAAATCCGTGAAGGCTTCTCTTCCAAGTCCTCTATCAGGAATATTGAGAATGTGAGCCAGAGCCAGGTCATTCTTTGAATTCACTAGCAGGTTTAGATATGAAAAGAAAATTTTTCTTGCTACTAGCTGCACCTGTACAATAAAATATGCAGTTAATTTCTTTATTGCAGTTGTTCTAAATCCATAAATATTCTTTTATAAATGCAGAAAAAAGCATATAATCATTTAATCACAATACCTCACTCAGCTCCTTAGGCAAAGATAATTGCTCTATAAACTGAAAACTTATGTTGGACAATCAACACATCTTGCTCATGAAGTCAACTTACTGCCAATGAAAATTTATGAGGAAATAACAATTTATCATAATTACTGGAAATGGTTCTTAGAAAATGATATAAAACATACAGTTCCGATCTGTACTTAGCAGGTCTCATCATATTCCCCTACATACATCTGCCACTAAGTAAGACACAATAATAAAGCTGCCTGATGCTCAGGGTGTAGGCCAATTGGCTCTATTTGATTCTGCATCTATGTTCCTTATAATGTCAAACATAAAAGCTAAAGTTAAATGTTAAATTTCTCGGAATTACTTGATACTGACTTTGGTAATACCAGATAACTAGCAAAGAATTAAAATGAAGAGATTAAACCAAACATTAAGCAAATAATAGCACATAATTGATGTTGACATTACTGGTCTCAAACACTACAGGTCATTCAAGCACAATATAAAGAATATTTGGGAGAACTTGATAGAGACATAACTGTTTCATATATATACTGTACTTATCCTTAACACTCAAATGATACACCAGGGCATTCATAATCTTTTTCTTAAAATTAGCTATTTATAGTTACTCAAGGCCTTACAACTGCAAGTACTGAGGGAGAAGTGATCATGTGAACCCTAACAGATAACAATAAAATACTAAGTAAAATTTTAAAAACATAATTCTGTAAACACACTGGAAAGCATTCAAAAAGCATACAGAAGCTGGAGAATATAATTTTAAAAGAACTGCAATGAGAAGAGTAAGAAATGAAAGTCTGTGATTATTCAAAGCCCTACAACTTCCAGTAATGGCAGAGAAGTGAGTGATCATGTGACCCCACAAATTAACAACTATGAAATATTAAATACAAGTTTTAAAATACACTTTAAAGGTACTGAAAAATGTTCAAAAAGTAGAAGTTGGAGAAACTTTAATTTTAAGAGAACTGTAATATGAAGGGTATGAATTAAGTTTGTGGTTTACTAATCCAAAGGTGTATCCAAAGTCTCATGGCTATGACTGCAGAAAATAGAGGTGACTAAAGGTGCCAGAGATTGGAATTCAGGACTGGGAAAGCAGCTACAGATTTAAAGGTGGAAATCCCTGGTAACAATTCAAAGCATAAATAGCCCAAATCTCTGGCTGACAGCTAGACTATAAAAGTGTGGGACAGACCCTAAGGGGTCCATCAAAAACACAGGTAGAAATCAGGAAAAATATATATTCTAGAAAGATTGAGCTATAAAGAGCCACAGCTATGAGTTTGAAGATGTGCTTAACTTAACACATTCCACAAGTTTGTATCACTTAAATGACAGAAAACTGAAGCTGGATGGGCTTGAAGCATTAGAGAACAGAGCCTGAACCTGGGAGAGCAAATGGAAAATTCAGGGACATCCCTAGAAAAAAGGAAACCACAGAAAGAATAAGTTCCATCTCTTCCCAAATTCCTTGACTGACCACCAAATTTGGCAGGCAGACAGAAGACCTACAAAAGCCAAGCTAATGAAGCACCAAAGAGAAGCCACAAATATACACATCAATAGCTGGATACCAACATGGAGCAAACTGGAATCTAGGCAAGTAAATTGCCTACTAGATCAAAAACCTAATATTTCTCAGAAGAATATGATGAAATCCAGAATCAATATAAAATATTACCTGTAATATCCAGTTTTGATCCAAAAATTACTAAACAGTCAAAGAAAAAGGAAAGTATGACCCCTATTCAGGGTAATAAGTAGTCAACAGAAATTGTCACCAAATAGACCTAGATTTGGAACTTAGCAGAAAAACATCAAGCCGGCTACTATAAATTATGTTCAAGGAATTAAAAAAATATGTTCAATGAATTAAAAGAATATATGTTATGAACATATGTTATAGAGGAACATAAAAGAACATATGCTATATGTTATAGAGGAAATGTCAACAGACAAAAGGTCAAACATACATGTAATTGCAATCCCTCAAGAGAAGTAAAAAGGTCAGAAAAAATATTTGACAAAATTATGCCCAAGCATGCCAAATTTGGTGGAAAACATTATAGATTCAAGAATTTACTTAAGGAAAACTAGGAAAGACACACACAAAAAATCACTCCTATACACATTATAATCTGATTCTGACAGCCAAAGGTGAGAGAAAATCTTGAGAGCCACCACAGTGAACTGACACTTTACCTGTAACGGAACAATGATAAGGTTAACAGATCATTAAGATGTATGTAAGCCAGAAGACACTAGAAGAACACATTAAATATGTTGAGAAATTATCTTAAGAATTACTATACAATTACAATAATCAAGATAGAGTAGTATTTGTAAAAGGACAGACACTGACATAGGTGGAACAGAACAGAGCCCAGAAATAGTTAAACAGAGATATGGAAATTTGATTTTTGACAAATGTGCAAAAGAACAATGGAGAAAGGACAGTCTTTTCAATAACTGGTATTGGGGCAATTGGTCATCCATATGCAAAACAAATGAATCTCAACCTAAACCTCATACTTTTTATAAAAAACTCAAAGTGGACCATAGATCTAAACATATAACATAAAACTTTTAGAAGAAAACACAGGAGAAAATCTTCATGACCTGGAATAAGGCAAAGAGTTCTTAGATATGACACCAAAAGTACAATCCAGAAAAGGAATAAGTTGGCAAACTGGATTTTATCACAATTACATTCCTTGTATGGAATTCTCTATTTTTACCCTCTCAACTACTTCCATCCTACATTCTGCTCTGGAATCCTGTTAGTTTCTAGTTCTTAAATGCTGTTTGTAGACTGTTCTCTTGAAATCCTCTTCTTGCCTATTCCTTTACATAATGGACTCACAAATTCTAAACTCAGTTGATTCTCAAAACATGAAATTCATAAATCATTCAGTAACTTAGCTAAAGTCCAAGTAATTTATCATCTGTAAACTCTAAGAAGATATTTTCCTTACTAAAATTAAAATTTCTTCTTTTACTAGATAATTACATTTAACATTTTTAAGCATAAAAGAAACTAAAAAAGGTAACAATAGAAAATTACAAAACAGGTCAGGTACGGTGGCTCACACCTGTAATCCTAGCACTCTGGGAAGTCAGGGTGAGAAGATTGCTTGAGCTTAGGAGTTCGAGACCAGCCTGAGCAAGAGTGAGACCCTGTCTCTCCTAAAAATAGAAAAAATTAGCAAAGCATCTTTACGAGTACTGTAGTCCCAGCCAACTGGGAGACTGAGGTAGGAGGATCACTTGAGCCCAGAAGTTTGAGGTTGCAGTGAGCTATGATAATGCCACTGCACTCTACCCAGGGTGACAGACTGAGGCCATCTCAAAAAAAAAAAAAAAATTAAAAAAATTTTTAAAAAGAAAATTATAAAACATTAAGAAGCTGCTTAGATAATATCATTAAGCAAGTTTCAAGTTCATATATATCTTAAAATTAATTTTAAAGGTAATGTACTTTTGGATTATTTAAATTTCCACATGAAAAATAATCTTTGAAAAGCAGGAGGTAGTCAGGGTCCATTTTTTAAAAAAAACTTCATTGGATAGGAAAAGATTACTTTAAATGTAGACTTGAGATATAACTTAAGCAAAATTAAGTAAAAGAAAACAAAGTTTAAAGATTAATCCTTGCAGTGGCCCTAAGGGCAAGGCAGGAGTGGCAGGCAGCCTGGGGTTAGAGAAAGCCACCATCTCCCTGTCCTTGCCAGGCAGCCACCTCCACAATGCCACTTCCTATTGAGGGGTTCTGGGGACCTAATCCAAGCCCATCCACCTCCAGAGGAAAGAGTCAGACTTCTCAGAGGTCAGTTTGCTCAATAAGTGGGTCCCCAAGGCCTTCTCCATATCAGCAAAAAGATCTTGCAGTGACCTCCCCAAAGGACGTCTCCATCTCTGTTCTCAGTTCTGATGATGCCACTACTTGTCACATTGTGATCCTAAGGCACACAAGTAATTGGGCTAACTGCTTGACACACTGTGAAGGAACCTACACCAAAGCTGAGGTCCTCTTGATCATGGGCTCCATAAAATCCTTTTCCCACCATGTTCAACATGGAAAGCTTGAAGTGTACCTTGTGGGAGGCTTCAGTGACAATAGGCCATTGTCACAAAAACTTACTCATCAACTTAGTGAATTTGAAGACAATAAGATGACACTCACTTAGTGACATTATGTGTGAGAGAATTAAGTTACTAGGAAGAAAATGAAAATTACTTTCCAATAATTTATCGCATTGCTGTCAACTTTAAAACTGTAGACATTTACATAGCCTCCTTTCATGACTGAGGTTCAGAGGAGAAGTTGAGGGCTGTGCCAGGCTCAGCAGGAGGACCAATGATTAGCATTTATGATGCAAAAAGCAGAACAACTTCATATAGGACTGTATTCCTGGATGCCATTTCCACATGTGTATTTCTGGCTGTGGCAAGATGATAAGCATATGCCAGAGAACATTTCCACTTCACCTTTGGCCAACACTCCCCTCAAGAAGACGTGCGGCACCTATTCTTGAACATAATAGATCTACCTTGATGTTTTTTTAAAAAATATCCATCTTCAACTAACACACAGTTTCCTGGAAATAAAGCTCTTACAAAAAAAAAAAATGGCTTATGAGAAAAGATCTCTTCTCAAGGAAGCTAAAAATAGGAATTTCCAGAGAAAGCAACTTTTTGGCATGATGAAGACCACTGGTAGTGAATGGAGAGAATATGGATTTGGAATCTATACCCATTGAGTATTAGGTCTCCTTCCTTACTCAGTAATTTCCAAATGATTTTCACAATAAAATCTTATTTTGGCAAAGGCAAAAAATGAAAAAAAAAAAGAAGATTAACCCTAAGAAACTTT